GTCTCTTCTCCATCACACACTACAGAAGGCTTGGAAGAAATCTGTCCCTGGCTCTCTCCCAGGTCCTTTAGCCTTCTGCATGTCTCTAGACCCCTGTCCGGCACTTGTATTCTAATACTTCCACTCTGTTCCAAGCCGTCATCATCTTCCAGTTGTCTCCAGGTGGGAGCATGACTCTAAGTGGGGTGACCCCTTCAGCTGAGGGCCATTCTCAGCGAGACTGTGAGGGACAGCTTCCTGGGGCTTCAGTTTGTGGTGGAGACTCCGGATCAGCTGTTCCCAACCCATGGATAGCAAGCCCTTTGAGGCTTAAATGACCCTTTCACAGGAGTCACATATCAGGTGCCCTGCATATTAGATATTTACATGATGATTCATAACAATAGCAAGATTGCAGTTATGAAGTAACAATGAAATAATTTTATGTTTTGATGTCACCACAACATGAGGAACTGTATTACAGGGTCCCAGCATCAGGAAGGCTGAGAACCACTGCTCTAGATGGTATACTGTGGCAGCAGTGACTGATGGGCAGACAGGCAGACGGGCAGGTATAAACAGATATAACCTGAATTGGTACATGAAGCAACACTTGCCATTCCTATGTGTTCTACACATCTCTCCTCCTTGGTGGTTAGTATGGACCTAGGGCCTTGTGCATTCTGGGAAATTGTTCTGCCACCGAGCAGCACTCTCAGTCCTTTATTTGTTTGACCTAACTTATCTTCATTATTCTGGAAATGCATATTCAAAAAAAAGAAAAGAAAAGAACAATACCGTTTGGGATCAGCAGGTGTTAGCATAGAAAGCGGTGGAAACACAAAGACGGTGTATTCATTTGCAACTGGGAAATTGAAGAACTTTTCCTTAAAAGAGGGATGATCTTCTCGAAGCTAATTCAAAAGAGTGTGCAGCCCTGAATGGGAGGATGAGATGACCCAGAGACCGTCTGATCTGCCATGTGTGCTTCATTGGGGGAAAAAAATGCGTTTTGGTGACCTAGAAATGAAAGCACTCTCTGCCAGGCTAGCCTCAGGCTAGGGGCTCCACAGCTGGCTTGCTGTTTTTCAGAAAGTAACATCACAGAGGTGACGCTACCACAGTCTTTTCTGAGGAAATGGATGTTTGTCTCTTGCAGTTATTTTATGGAGGAAACAAAGGAAAGTCTGAGCATGCTTGGGTGGGTCGCGTTTTGTCTTGGTATTGACTCTTTCATATGGAACGAGAATCCGCCCAGGTCTTCACATCAAAGTGACAGAGCAGAAAGGTGGAAATGGGACAGAGTAAATTTGTGACTGACTGACCCACAGTCTCCAGCCCCTGTGATCTCCAAAGACCTGCTCCCCTGCTGTGCGTGCTTGTGTGCACCTGCCTATGTGTGTCT